AAGATCTTAAGCTTCTTCATTTCCTTGAAATTGCTTTCGTTTTATTGGCTATAACGGTCCTCCATAATAGTGTAGCACTAATTGTTTCTGTTTAACTGGATAGAATGAATTGGCCTATTGCCACAATGGTATAAATATTCTAGGAAGGATTAGGGTGACTAAATTGAAAACGCCACAGGGAATGTTAACTAGGCCGTTTTAAAGCGTTTACCCACTGGAAGTAGCCACTGGCCACGAGACAGATATTCGGGCTCTTCGCGTACCCACAAAGAGAGTGATGGTATGTTGCTACTCAGGCAACTGATTCGCACGTGATTCCACATAAACGAACTTCGGGCATGGCCTAGACGATGACGCCCTGGCCATCCTAGCGTCTGCCAAGACACGCATCTATAAGTACTTCCTTGGTGTGGAACTGAGGACCCTCTCAAGGTATGGAAGCCCTTCTTACTGAAGATATTTGTACACATATACAACTATATATATTCCCCTACATTTTATATACCCTTTATTTACTTTTTTTTTTTCCACCTTTGTAAAATTGATTAGAAGAATCAATAAAATTGTTTAAATTGTCAAATTGTCCACATATAAGAGCCCCTGAGATTTTTCTGGATTAAAGAAAATAAAAACATGTTTATAAACAGCTATTATTTACTATTTTTTTAAATATCATTCGGAATATTCCACCATGTGTATATAGAAATATTAGCATACACTTCCTTGAGATCAAGTAATTGTTGATTTGAAAATCGCAAAATCTTTTTGAAATCGTTTCTTCATATCAGATATCTTTTCCCTATGTGATATTGTTATTATATAATTTTCCTATTCCACAAAAGCAGTGTTACTTTATATAGAATATTTCGAGGTAAAGAGGGTTAAGTGTCAGCAATAAGTTCATTTTATTAAAGAAAAAAGAGTATCAAAGGTACAAACACGGGAAATCTTCCTTGAACGTTGGGCGTTGCTCTCTATCTACATATTTTTCTATACTTATTAATGGCCTCTGGATACACGTGCTACAAACAATTCCCAGATGAGTGATACTTTCTATACTATTACTATTCCTATTAATTAGAAGTCGTTAAAATTGTTCAAATTGTCTAGTCCAGGCAACCTGCGGCTCGCGAGCCACATGCGGCTCTTTGGATGTGAAGCTGCGTGTAGTACTCTCATAAATAAAGCATTTATTTATACAAGTACTATTTATTGTTGGCATGAAAAAAATGTGGCTCTTTAAAAACTTTGAAATTTTGTAAATTACAATGTTTGACTCTTCTGACTCAAAAGGTTGCCGACCCTTGGTGTAGTCTATCTTCACCAACCAGGTTTCTGTCATAAGGTCAACATTTAAATAACCACGTTCATTGAGCCTATAAATTTTATTTTTATATTACAATATATTGCGGCTTATATTGTAAAACGACCTTTGACAATTTAACCACAAATGTTTCTTTTGAACGAAAAATCGTAATTTATTTTAAGGAGAAATAACGACTACACTATCCTTAGGGATGAAGTATGAAAGGATGATGTGTGAAGAGTAATGATAAACGGAAAAATAAAAGTGTCCAGGGATGGGAACTTTTACTTTTATTTTTCCGTTTATCATTACTCTTTACACAATTCATCCTTTATCCCTTAGGATAGAAATAGTCGTTATTTCTTCTAAAATAATTACGATTTTTCGTTTAAAAAAAAAACATTTGCGGTTAATTGCCAAAGGCCGTTTCATTTTATATATTTAATTTTCAAATAGGAAATATTTTTATTGAATTTATCAAGTGTGTGTGTACTTCTCTCTGGTTAAAAAGAAAGTCGTCTATATAATTAGAAGATATAATTCATCCCCCTGTGAAAAGGTAACAATAAATCTCCGAAACTTAGGAAAACAAATAACTCTAGAACGGTTGTGATAAACACTCATGGGAAGAACTAAAGGAGGCGCAAAGTCTGATGTCGCCGTCGGTTTTTTTTTTTTTTTTTTTGAGACACAAGGATTTCACATTTTGTTATCTCGTGTGTATTTAATAAAGGTCACTGTATCAAATATTTTTCAGAGTTTTCTGAATCCCAATATAAAAGGTACAACTTCCTTAAGTTTTTTTCATGAGTGCATATATTCTTTTTTTTTTTAACAAACCTCAAACCAACAAGTGAATTTTAAAACATATGTTTCAATTTAAAATTTAAAAAAATAATGAGAAACTAACAACAGTCGACTAATTAAAAGTTAAATTAAAACAAGTATTTAATCCATTATAAAGGTTTGTGTTATAATAAAATATACCGTGATCTGTGTTTGTTGTTACTGTTCTAAAAATAGGTTTTTGTGTGTGTGTTTTGGTTTGAAGATATGCTTAAATTCCACCGTCTCGCTTGTGCTCATTTTTAGGAGAGAATGTTATTTCTGAAATAATCAATTTATAAATTCAATTGCCGTCTATTGCTAATATTTGTTACAAATAAATTTACTGGAAATGAGTTCCTTTTTGATAATATCATTAAATATTATCTCTACAGACTTTACTGTAATTTTCTTCTTCTCTCTTATCTCCACTCAATCATATTAAGGTATCAAGCTTGTAAAGCTTGAGACTTTTGATGCTGTCTGCCAGGGAAGAGTAGAGCTAATCAATGGATGAGTCAATACAGTCAATAATGTGTAATGTACCTCACTGTAATGATGAGATTAATTTGGCGAAACCGCTTAGAGGGTTCACCACGAGCCAAGACCTCTCATTCAACAACTTTTATCATTGCAGTAAGGTCTGTAGAGATAATATTTGATGATATCATTAAAAAGAAATTGTCAGTAGATTTATTTGTTACACAATTATTCAATATATGACAATATTTCCGATCTTAAATGAATAAATGATCTAAACTATAATTTGAAGTAATTTTACAATATATATATGTACCTAGAGAGGCAACTTTCCCTCTATTAATATGTTAATATTATTTTTTAAAAGATTACTTTAAAAAAATAGTCTTCAAAGTTTGATATGAACAATGCACATACCTGATATAAATATTCATTAATGCAATATGGACAGTTAAAAGCTAATGGTAAAATTCCGCACCCAAAACCTTTATTTTTAATACTTAATTCAAGTAAAATTTGTAACAAATAAATTTAGTGACAATTGGTTTCTTTTTTTTTTAATAGCATCAAATATTATCTCTAAAGACCTTACTTCAATTGCGAACTAAGGACGTAAGGCCTGTAGAGATAATATTTGATGCTATTTTTTAAAAAGGAACATTTCCAATAAATCTATTTGTTACAAATTTTATCGATAAATGGCAATTGGATTTATAAACTTAATCAAGTACCCCGCATAAGATTCTTCAAAATGTATTAGCATTCAGAAGTTTTCAAATTAAAAGTATCTCTGTTTATTTATCAATTATTCTATTAATATATATTTTATCCATATAGACAGTTAAACCTGTCTATAGCGCCCCCTCTAAATAGCGCCTTCCTCTCTATAGCGCCCGATTTTAAATACGTAGTACGATGCGATTTACATTAAAAGTGACCTGTCTATAGCACCCTATTTTTGTGAGTCCCAATAGGGGGCGCTATAGACAGGTTTAACTGTATATTCATTATTATTTAATCATTATTGTATTTAACCTAATATGAAATATTTAATAAAGTAGTTTCAATCTCTGTCTACAGACGTTTTTACTGAGTAATGGTGAGGAGTACTTGATTATTCTATATATCTGCAATTTATAACATTCTCCAACAAATAAATGTTCACTTAAGTGAAGGATGGAGAGACGCAGGAAGTGTCAATAAACAACCTTGAAATCGAGACAAAATTATCCGTGGAGAAAGCGTTGACCCGACAAAAAGTTTCAATAAGTCTCATTACCGGCCATTCATTCATCGGGCGTTGACTTCTCTCGGTGGGAAGTTCACTTCACTGATAAACAAACTCCTCAGCGACAGTTTGTATATGCTCAATTTCCACAACTTCAAATACAGTTAAACCTGTTTATAGAGCCCCCTCCTCTAAATAGCGCCTTCCTTTCTAAAGCGCCCGATTTTAAACATTAAAATATAAACATTTTATATTAAAAGTGACCTATAGCACCCTATTTTGGTGGGGCCCAAGAGGGAGCGCTATAGACAGGTTTAACTGTATATAACATACAAAAAATATATAAATAAAAGGCATCTCTATATCGTGAAACTGAAAGTTTCTGACGGCTTGCGCCATCTATCGGAATAAATATCAATTATTCGTTAATTTTCAATTAATTTAATCAAGAACCAATTATGGAAAAATTAAAAATCAACGAATAGTGGCGCAAGCCAATCAGCAACTTTCAGTTGAACGATACGGATATTCCTTTTTCTTAATATATTCACCTTATCCAAGTACAATTTAACATTTGTACCATCTTTCATATATAAATATTTATCGAAACGCAAAAAAAAAAAAAAAAGGAATATATAGAAAGATATATTTTTATTAAAACATACACACAATTTAAAATATATATTAAAAGTTAATATATGACCATTTTGTGTAAACAAAATTTGGATTAAAAATTGAAAATTCGCCAAATCCTCAATACGGAAAGCAATATATATTTGTGATAACTAGTATAAAATTGTACTTGTATCAGGTGGATAAAAAAAGGCATCTCCTGATCGTGCCACTAAAAGTTGCTGATGACCTGCGACATCTGTCGGAATAAATAACTATTCGTTGATTTTTAACTATTCCAGAATTGGCCAGTTTCTTGATTAATCAAGAAAAGTTAATCGCGTAGCTAACTGACTGCGAAATTTTTGGAGGAAAATATAGGAAAAATCAATTTATCATTATTTCATGAAAAAGAAAAAATATTTATCATTAATAATAAAGATGATGATAATAGAATTTGTTCATCATCATTAAGAAGTCATAATTTTGAATCTTGGCCTAAATTAGTGTTTTAACAAATGTTAATTAATTATAATTCTTAACTAGTCAAATGACCCAGGCATACCCGGCATACCCCAAGTACTTGAGTACTTTTTACCCAGTGCATAAGTATAAAATAACATAGGTTTTGAAAAAAAAAAGTACAACTATATAATATGACCCACCTTCTCCAGGGTTCTCCCTGAATGAATATTTGCCAATGAAAAAGGTTTTAACAAATATTATTCATTATGATTGTATATTAACATTCCTCTATATGTGTAAAAATAATTAGAAAATGAAACTTATATTTGATGATAATAATAAAATAAGGATACACATCAATTCGAATCCTCCATGTTAAAGCAAAATTCGCCTCGTACACTTCACAATGATGGTTTAAATTGTATATTTCAGGATATATGTTATATAAGAGACTTGTTAGTGTTTATTCAGACTCAAGCACCACAAAGCGATGTAAGGGAAAATTCTCTTTATTACCACAGCTTATCTACAAAAAAAAATTAAAAGATATCATATATGGGTGTGAAAAAAATATATATAAAAGGTCAGGAGTTGGCATTTTAGATGGCATTGCTCTTTGGGGATTGTGGTCTCTTCTGGATCTGGTGGGTCAGGGTCTTGGTTGGGGAATATTGGCCGGGGACCAATCTGGATGGTGGTGCTGGCCTCGTGCCTTGGTTAACTCTTAGGTTAGTTCCAGGTCTTTCATAGGCATGCTGGCTTTGATCTGTCAATTGATGTTCAATTTATGGCGTTGTATGTTTGCCGCTCAGATATTTCCTAGGTCTTTAAAAGTAGAGGAGAAAACTATTTGTTATGATTGTTGATTAAACTTCAAAGCAATTTGATTAATTAAGCAATTCATATTAAAAATGGCTTGGTTACAATTTCGGCTTTTATATATTTATTGGGAGTAACTTCCATTGCAAAACAAATTTTGAGGATGGTGTACCTATATGGATGAAATTATAATCACTTGTTTGACTGTTTAAATGTACCACGTTGTAATTTCGATTGTCTTAATTTTATTGGCAGATAATGCATTCACGTTGCCAGTTTTGTACATCTTTCTTCATGTTGGTCTGTATGAACTTCCAGCCACTTTCTTGATCCTTGTTTTCTATTCCAGGGTGTGTCTCATCATGAATTTGTTTGAATTTTCTTGTACTCCTGTACTACTGGGGTATATAGGGGCGAATGTTGCTTGTTAGTACTTCACACAAGAGGGATTTTCAGAGATATCCCTAACAAAACCATGGCATTCACAAATAAATTCCTCGTTCTTTATATATCTTATTTTCAATTATATTAAGGATTCACAGTAAAATTAAGAAATTGAGATAATTTTCAATAATTATTCTCCTTTATCTCAATATATTTTCACTTCAAAACCAATAGCTAATTATTCAGTAAACTATCTTTGCTTGAATTTTGTAATTTTCACTGTACTGTTCTTGAATGTGTGTCTTTTCTGGGTTCATCCTAACCCTCCAGGTTTTGCACCATTTTAAATTTCATTTGATATATTTTACAATTTTTTGAAAATTTGTAATGCTCTTTGACTGAATTTTAACTGCTGTGTCATCTGAAAAAGTTAAGAAAAGTGGGATGTCATCAATGAAAACGTTGAAGAGATCTGAAAGTTGAATAGGCAGTTTCCCATCTGACTTTAAATTTCCTCTCTTCAAGTTAGTTCAACACCAGCTGGACCAGGTCTTCGAGGAAGCTATGATTAACCATTTTGTGTACTATGGCTTTGCGCTAGACCTTGTCGAAGGCTCTGTTAATGCCAAAGAGTAGTGCACCAGTGGTATATTTGTTATTTAATAATTGAAATGATTTTTGGGTCCTAAAATCAAACTATTCATTTTAAATTAACTCTGTTCGGGAAGGTGGTTTTGGACAATCTTTTGAAAAAATTTCCAAGGAACATAAGCAATGATAATAGTCGATGATCACTAACCTCTTTTGGTGAACCGGTCTTGAAAATTGAGAGAACTATTGCAGTTTTCCAGCAGCTAGGAAAGTACGTGTGTGCGTGGTCAGCATCGCGCAGAAGAGTCAACCAACAACTTCAGCTTCCAAATCCTGGCACACTCTGATGGGTTACTCGTCCAGCTCAAGTCCCTCTGTGAACGTTTCCAGTCCCAAGTAAAATGTCAGAGTTGTACAGAGTTAGGCAGTGACATAAGTGTTCATTTACAAAAAGAACAAAGTGAGTCCGCAAACTCAGGTTTTTACAATTTTGATAGGTGGTTAAATATAAAATATTAGTGAAGCATGAAAGAAATAAGGATTAAAAATTATGGGTAAATAATAGGAGGGTATACAAAAATACAGCCTTCAAGGGGAAAAGGGCATCTTTTTATTTTATTTTTTTTTTGCAATTATAATTTTCGTTTTCTATTATTATTTATTTTATTTTTATTTTTTATTTTTTTATTTTTTATTTTTTTTGTTGTGCCAAAATATAGATAATTTTTGGGATAAATCCTCTTTTTTTTCCCCAATGAAAGCTTAGGTAAAACAAATATACAAGTAAGGGAAGATTAAAATAACAATAAAGAAAGAGCTTTAATATATATTTACAACATACAATGATAATTTTAAAAGAAATAAAATAATTTGAAAATGATAGACTTTTTTCTTTAAAGATAATTATCTTTGTCATCTTCCTCTATAGAACTGTTGGCTAAACGGTTGTGAAGATGAAGCACAATATACTTAAGCACTCTGAAAAAAAAAATTGGAAACAAAAGGTTATGCTTGTTGTTGGTGTGCATGATAATTTTATCGGAGGGAACCTTAGTGTGAAGAATAGGGATGCTAAGAGATGGAGCCAGAGCGTTTGCATAACGTGTTAATTTGGTGTCAAAGAAAGGGTGGTAGACACAAGAAACGGTATAAGTAGCGACAAGAGGAAGTGGCAGGCCCTGGCGAGCGATGGATAAGAAGCGTGGCTGGGGATATAAGGCTGTCAAGTACAGGGCAACAAGTGGTACAGGTGGTTAAACATGTGACAAGGATGAATGTGTTAAGGAGTAAACAACATTGAGGTACAAAAGGGTAACATGTTATGAAAAAAGACAAGGTAAATTCTGCCACGCTTGAGCAGGGCAGTCTCGAGGGGTTGGCGAAATGGAGGACAAGTTTCTTGATTGGTGACTATTTCGAAGAGGGGCGAATATAAATAGATCAAAGAGTGAGGTGGAGATCCGGCAGGTCCAGGATGGCAATGGTTCGATCAGGAGAGGAGAGGTTTGGTAGGAATAGAACTGGAAGGGATTGGTTAAGGATAAACATACAAGAACCCAGTTAGTTCCCTTTAATAGGGTGGTGTAATATGGTGGAACCAGGAAGGTGCCAGGGATCTTCCCAAGTGAGACTGGAGGTTCTTGTACGAATATGATATCCACCTTGTAAAGACATGCAGAGTGTGGAATAGTAGAGAGGAAGTGAGTGGAGCGACGGCAGTTAATTTGTAAAAAGTTTAAGGATTTCGCTTTAGTGAAGCTGTCCTCTGCAGCTTTGATAACAGGACAGGACATTAAGTCCGCCTTGTGTTTATTGTTGGGGGAGGTGCAGCGGAAGCAGGAGGGAGTGAGGTTGGTGGTGGGGCAGTCAGATACGACATGTGGGAGTCCACAATGCAGACATTTAGGATTGTTGTCGCACCTTTCAGGGCGATGTCTTAAGCTTACACATTTCAGGCAGGGGAATGTTGCCCTAGATCTGGAGATGAGAAGGATGTAATATCCGAAACGGATCTTTTTAATTTTTAGGAGCTGGGTCGAGGTATCTTCGTCAGTTTCAAAAAAGACATGTTGGTTGCCATTCCTTGCAGGGACAGATATGCACCAGTGCAGTGACCGCATTTGGCCGCCCTGGTACAGTTCTTACCCTTGGGAGCGGGTGATGGTACCTCTGGAATTGCAAACCTTAAGATCAAGGGCATCAAGAAGGTTGTTTATGTGAGAACCCTTCCCGTTTTGCTTTTGGAGGCTCCAGCGGGAGGAGACGGCATTGACATCTCCAGCGAATAGAAGGCGAGGAGGAGGTGGTTAGCCGAAGAGAGTGAGGAAGGAGTCTATGATGGGAGAATAAGAAGCGTTGTGAGGAAAGTAAACAGAGCAGATAGTGAGATGGAAGCCTGGAATATCGAGAATGGCGAGTGTACGATTGGTGGTAGAAAGGCGAGGGAGGAAGACCACAGGCAGGCTCTGGTTAAGAACCACGATGCAGGTGCTGCACCTGTTCTGTGAGATGGGAGCGTGAAGGAAAGAGGCGGAAGGGATGGGGAAGGGAGAGGGGAGAAGGCCCTTACGGACCGGCAGCTCTTGAAGTAGGAGGATATCTATGTGAGAGGACTGCGCGGTTTCGAGGATAGAGAAGAAGCAGGGGAGGGAACGGTTGCAGTTTAGCTGCAGGAACCTAATCATGGGATTCCATGCGTTGTAAGGAAGGCAGACTCTGCCGCCTTAATGATCGGGCAGGCAAGTGAATCCGCCCAGTGTTGATTGTTGATGCTGCACCGGAAGCATCTAGGGGGAGAGATTACTGCGCAGTCGTTGATGGTGTGGCCCTCCCCACAGTGCAAGCACTTGGCCCGTTTGGTGCAGTCTTTGTGTTGGCGTAGGTCACCACAGGAGCGGCAAGGGTGCGTCGTTCTTGTTCGCTCGAACCTGATAGAGCTAAAACCTATGAAGAGGCGAGAACGCGACTGGAGGTCTCTGGCTGTAGCGGTGTCAGTCTCTATGATGGCGTGTATGTCGTTGTTGCGCGCAGCCATTGTACGGACTAGCCTACAGCCGGCGCCCACGGATTGGTTGAGGTCGTCTATTGGGAGAGCGTCGGGAATGTTAAAGAGGGTATAGCGTGGTTTAAATGTAGGGGGCAGGTGCACCTTGATGTTGGTTCCCCTAGTGGCATTTATTAGTTTTGTGTAGATGTTTGTCATGTTGTTTTTAGTGTTTGTATGTATGGTTAGTTTGTTGCGTGTGCGGTGTATGTTAGTGATTGGTGTGGTGGGCGTGGTAAGGGAGGAGATGGAAATTTTTGTGTATAGGTTGGTGTCAATGGGGGTGCTGATGGAGGGGTCTTGGGTGATTATTATATGGAAGGGGTTGTTGCGGTTGGAGGGGGGTGTGGGGCGGTGGGATGGGATGTGTGTGGTGTGGCGGGGGGAGGGGATGGGGGGAGAGGGAGTAGCAGAAGGGGGAAGGGAGGCGGCTCTGGCAAAAGAGTCAGGAGTAGGAAGGAGAGGATTTGGGGAGGAGGGGGTGGGCGGGGGTTGAAGGATAGGTGGAGATAGAGGAAGGGGGTTAGGAGGGGAAGGATGAGGAGTTTTAGGAGGAGGAATGGGAGGGGTTAGAGTGGTAGTAGAAGGTTCAGTCGGGTGGTGTGAGGGTGGTTGTGTAAGTATGTGTGTGAGGATGTTGTTGGTGTGGTTGGCCTCTATGAGGCGCTGGTTGTATGTCTGTGTGAGGTGTGTGAATGTTATGTCGAGGGTGGTTCTGAATTGGTTGGCGATAGAAGGGGTGAGACCATTGGAGAAAGGAGCTAGAAGGTGGTAGGCCCAGGAAAGAGGGAGGAAGTGGGAGTTGTTGTTGATGGGGAACAGATTGCATATCAATGGGGGGGAGTCAATGGTATAGTCGGAATTGCGAGGGTGGTGTGGCCTGTAGGGAGTGTGGGTGGTGGTGACAGGGGGGTGAGGAGGGGTAGGTTCACTCACCCCTGGTTGACCGTTGAGAGGGCCGCCGATTGTGCGGTCCAGGTGGCTGTCGAAGATGCTGGGGCGCAGTTCATCCCTGGAGGAATCCGCACTTGAAGTGGAGGTGCAGTCTTAAGGAGAGTTGGTGGAGTCCTCCCTGGAAGAAGAGACGTCTGGGGGGTGTAGTATCCAGGAGGGGTGTGAGAGAAGGGGTTCTAGTAGGGGTAGGTCCTCGGCGGGTGCGGAATGGTGGACTGGTGCGCTGGGGCGGACAGGTGAGTTGCTGGGCCCGCGGCGGCGCGCGGTGGTGCCGTCGCCTGGGGAGAGGAGCTGGGAGTTCAGCGCGGCGGACGGAAGGACCGCGCTCGGCTGGCTATGGTTACAGCTAATTGACCAAATGGGATGGCCTTCTAGCTCTACTACTGACTGAAATGAATCAGACTGACCGCGGCAAAGGGAGCAGGTAACCCGGGGAGATACAGCAACATCGCAATATCCCCCGCGACAACACCCAAGGAACCACCAAGCCCGCCACCCAACGCAACGCACGCAGTGGCGGTGCGAAACGCATCTACAGCCCCATCCGCGAAGAGACGCGCGGCGCCCTCACGGCGCCCCTGGAGAATGCGATGCGTGCTAATGCTGTAAGAACATAGGTGAGTATCCCTGGGTCAGAGGGAAAGAGATGGGCTGGGCGCTGGGGAACAGGAGCACAGTAGCACAGGAGACCAGAGGCACTATATAAAATTCCTATTTAGCCTCCTTGAATATGCTGACACCACCAAAAAGAGTGGATGCCCTTACTTCAAGCAGTATCCCTGTGCCTTACCACGGGTGGGGGGTCACTAGGGACTGGCAAGAAGCGATCCTAATTCAAGGGAAGCTTTTGACTCCAAGAGTATCCAGAATCCTTACCACTGGTGGGGGGAATATCTAGACTCGTTGAAGTTATCGAGAGCTCTCTCGCGCTCGTCGGCGTGTGACAATTAATCCGCTTTCTACATGCTTTCGGATAAGCATTTTAAGGCACGACTCATGTTTGGGAGTCACCAAGCGCCCGCCGCTGTGGAGGACCAAGGAGAGGGCTGGAGAGGCGCAGGCAGGGCGAGTGGGCACCCCGGGGGTGAAGAGGGCGAGAGCGCGGTTAGTGAGGGAACCAAGGCAGCACCAAGCACAGCACCAGACTCCAAGCAAGTCTGGTAGATTGCAAATTTACCTTTGTTTTTTATTTATTTAATTAAATAAAGAGCAAACAAAAGTACAAAGAGGAGGTAGGTAGCAGAGGGGGTGGAATTAAAAACAAAGGGGGAGGAGGAGAGGAGGGAATGGTGTCGGGGGGGAGGGAAAGGGAGAAGCGGATCTCAAAGTGATCGGAGAGGTCAGTAGGGCAGGAGGTCCAACCGGAAACGGAGGAGAGGAGAGAGGAAGAGACGCTGGAGATGTCAATGGAGGAGGAACTGGAGCCCTGGGAGAGGTGAAAGCTCCCCGGGTGTTACAGACCTTGAGGTCGAGGGCGTCGTGAAGGGTGTTGATGAAATTGCCTTTGGAGTTTGGTTTTTGTGAGCTCCAGCGGGAGGAGACAGCGTTGACATCTCCAGCGAAGACAAGGCGGGGAGGGGGTGGGGAGCCAAAGAGGGAGATAAAGGAGTCGACGATGGGGGAGTAAGAAGTGTGGTGGGGGAAGTATATGGAGCAGAGAGTAAGGTGAAAGCCGGGGATGTCAAGGATTGCAAGGGTGCGGTTGGTCGTGGAGAGTCGTGGGAGGAAAATGACGGGAAGGCTTTGATTAAGAATAATTATACAGGAGTTACACCGGTTGTTAGAGATGGGAGCATGGAGGAGGGAGGAGGAGGGGGTGGGAAATGGGGAGGGAAGGGCATTGTCACGGACCGGAAGTTCTTGAAGGAGAAGGATATCTATATGGGAGGACTGGGCAAATTGTAGTAAGGAGAGGTAGCAAGGGAGAATTCGGTTACAGTTAAGCTGTAAGAACTTTATCATTTAAGGCAGGTGGTGGGTATTAAGGAATGTGGTTTCTGCGGCCTTGATGAACGGGCAGGAGAGGGAGTCTGCCCGGTGTTGGCCGTTGCCGTTGCAGCGGAAACATTTAGGGGGGAGGGTGGTGGCGGTGCAATTGTTGGTAATGTGGCCTTCGCCGCAATGGAGGCATCTGGGGGGTTTATTGCAGATTTCATTGCTGTGACGGATGTCACCGCAGTTACGGCAGGGGTGAGTTGATCTGATTCTATCGAACCTGATTGAATTCTATCCCAAAAAGAGACGGGTTCGAGATTGCAGTTGGGTGGCAGTGTCGGAGTCGGTTTCGATGACCGCGGGCATCCAATGAAAATGAGCGGCCGTCAAACCACAAAACCCCCGGTTGTGACGTCGCGCGATTAATCGACCAATCAGCGTGCGGCGTCCAATTTCGACCGCGGCCCTCTAACCCTTGGGTGATTAGAGACGGCGCTTGGTGAAATCCCGTCCACAAGCCAGCTGGTAAATTAAAAGTTTGACATCGCATACATAATTAGTGATACACGCATATGCAGGTAAAACACTGATGTAAAGTTTAGGTGGAATTAGAGTCAGAAACCTTCTCTGATTCCACCTCTCGGATCCGCGCTCTCAGCCTGTCGCAAGCCAGGAGAAAATCGATACAGGCTCGCCAGGTTAAACAATTGTGGGTGAAGCCGCGGAGCGCCCTCGGCGTGAAACCGAGTTCCCTCCCCGCTATAAATAATAGACGAGTTCTGAGGGAGTCCAGACTGTCACACTCGAGCATGATATGTTCCAGAGTTTCTTCCTCTCCAGAGTCACAGAAAGGGCAGATAGGATCTTCAATATGTCCAAGTCTGTGAGCAAAGCTGTCTGTCCATGTGTGTCCAGTCAGCAGGCCAATCACGGCGTGGACACTAGAAACGATGTACGCATGTTTTTTGTCCAAGAGACTCATGGGAGAAAGGCCAAAGCGGGTGAAGATTGTGCGCTCGGCGGAGCTGAACCTGACCTGCCAAGCTGCCCACGCCCGCTTGTAGATTGTCGATTTAAGTTTCGACACCCTTGGAGCAGATGGCCACCCAGACCTTACGGTCCACAAGCCGGCATGCGAAGCATGCCCTTAGCTGCTATCTTGTTCCACTCATTAGCCAAGTAACGGCATCCAAGCTGGGGGCTTGAATATTGTACTTGGAAAAACCACCTCCCAGATGACTAGTCTGGAAGGAATTTATATCCCGGTGACCTTCAGTCACAGCAAAACAGTAAACTGTCTACTGTGTCCAGCGGGGACCACGGGAAGGCGGCCACCGGTCGACCCTGTTCACTCACAGCTGAGGTAAAGCTCAGCTGCCACGTCGTGAGCCTTCTCAAGAAGCTTGCTGTGATTTCTCAGCAGCTCGCTCTCGATCACGCCCTCCTTCTCTCTTCCTGCACCCCTACCACCCTTGAGCAATCCAAGACGTAGTGGCGTGCGTCTACATCCCTCTCTCCACAGACGCAATCAGGATTGCTCTTTATCTTGAATCTGTGGAGACTCCTGGGGAAGGGCCCATGTCCCGAAACTACCCTAATAAGTTTGTGGGACATTACCTTACAGAGGTACTTGGGTACTGTTACCCAATTGAATACCTCCCTCCCATTTTTACTGTTCCTCCACCTGTCCAACCATAAGTCCTGGACATGCCCCCTGATCCTCCTATAAACTTCCTTCTTGGTTACAGGGGTCCTCACAGATCTACCTCTAAAGCACCCTGCTTTAGCGAGCCTGTCTGCGAATTCATTACCTTCGATGAGGCTGTGACCTCTAACCCAATGGAGCGCCGGAGCCTGCGGCATCATTTCCAGCTCCTGGATGATTTAATGCGCGAGTTGCCCCTTTTCCAGATTGATGGCGACAAGGGCCGACATGCAATCTGAATAGAGGCGCTCAGGGCTCAAATTCTTCTCGGCACACACTCTGAGGGCCTCCCTGATCGCAACCAGCTCGGCTGAATAGACCAGTTCGTCCTCTCTGAGTGTTAAGCTTTCTTGGAAGATCAGCTCCCCATTGGTGAAGATCACCACCCCAGCTCCAGTATTGGTTCCAGACTTGCTCCCATCAGTGAAGACCTCCGTACCAATCCCTGTTGGCACTCCAGGACTCCAATTCCACTTTGGCAACCACTGCGGAGGCTTCCTTGGGTCCCTCTTCCATTCCAGGGCACCCGCTTCAAGGCCCAGGGCGTCTTTCCTATCCTCCCATATTTTCTGTCTGATGGCCTCCTCCTCTAGTTTCAAACCCAGGGGAATAAGCCCAGCGAGGACCAACAAGGCCTCCGTGCTGGTGGTGCGGTATCCCCCTGTGATTTTGAGTGCAGCTGTCCTCTGCACTCTCTCTAGAGTCGTCGCCACCTTCTGATCTTTGTTTCGGGGCCACCAGGCCCTAGAGGCATATAGTAGGATTGGCTCGACACAGGAAAGGTAGAGGTTCCTAAAGATAGTACACTCCTTGCCCCCCCTGTTGAGAGCCAACCGCGACAGCCTGCACAATGCCTCTCTGCCTTTCGCCACCATCTCCGCGTGGAATTGCCATCCCAACTTTTCATCAATGACCAACCCTAAGATGGTCATCCTATCTACCACTGATACCTTCCGTCCTTCCATCCTGATAGCCGGCTTATGTTCCCATCTGATCCCTTTTCTTTTGGTTCTTATGTCCCTAGACTTAAAGCTGAGGGCTTTAGTTTTAGCGACATTGAACCTAAGTCCAGAGTAGTGGGCCCAGTTCGAGAGGATTTGGAGAGAAGTTTCAACACACTTCTCAGCCTTCGCTCTCGAAGCAGCCTCAATGATGAGGAACTGGTCGTCGGCATAGAGAACCAGCCTGGCTCCCTCAGGTAGCTCCTCCTGGAAAACTGTGTTAACCAGGATGTTCCACAGTACAGGTCCGCAGCAGGAGCCCTGGGGGCAACCCCTGGCACATTTTCTTACCAACTCCAGTCCACCAAAACTGAGGCTAACCCGTCTATCCCTCAGGAAGTCACGAACCAAGCTGCACAAATTATCTGGACAACCCATATCCATCAAATTTCTCATCAGCTTGTTCCAGTTCATGGAATTGAAAGCGCCATCAATGTCCAGGGCCACGAGAAGAACCCAAGCACCCTTTTTTAGCCCTATCTCAACCCCCTCTAATACTTCATTCAGAGCTGTGGTTGTCGACTTACCTTCCCTAAAACCATGTTGGGAAGAGGAAAGGAGCACATTACTCTCTAGCCAGTGCTTCAGACGATGAGCTAGTAGGCTGTCCAGAACCTTACCTAGACACGCTAGTAAAGAAAGCGGACGATAATCAATAGGGGAATTACCCTTTCTACCGGACTTTTCCAGAAGCACTACTCGGGCAACCTTCCATGCCTTAGGAAAAGTGCCAGTGTCCAGGCACCTATTGAATAACCTGGCAAGAAGCGATGGGTGCATCCTAACCAGGGCTTTCACGATCGTGTTATCGATTCCGTCCGGTCCAGGAGATTTCCTGTTTCCGAACTTGAAAGCCGTCCGTTTCACCTCCATCTCAGAAAAGGGCGGATCCACCAAACCACAAGTGGTCAGCGGAATCTCATCCTCTGGCTCTTCGTTCCCGAAGTGCCGATCCAAGATGAGGTCTAGGGTCTCCTTCAGGTCCCGGGTCTTGAACCCATCTTCATCTTCAAGCAGCCTCAAGTTAGCGGAGTTCCTTATCTTCCCAGAAACAATCCTGTAAGGGAGACCGTATGGATCTTTTTCCAGTACGGTGTTGCACTGCTCCCTCCAGTGTTTCCTCTTCGCTCTCTTGGTGCGTCTCTTATACCCCGCCAAGTTCTTCCTGTAAACTATTCCCCTCCTGATCCTTTCTTCCCCTACACTATTCTGGAATAGTTTCCTCATGGCCCCGATCCTCTTCCTCTCGATCTCCAACTCCTCGGTCCACCAAGGCTGTTTAAGCCTTTTAAATGCGGTAACCCTTCCAGATCCAGGCCCAAGAGCTTTACGCATGTTGGTTATATCCTGGTGGAGCTTATTGACCATGCTATTTAAAACAATTCCGTCAACAGCTCCAGTCAGGCTATCGCCAAGCGTGCAAACGAACCGGCGTCTGAATCTTTCAAGGTTAGGCCCCCTGATGCTGTACCGAGGAGCTCTCTCCACTGATGGCGGTTCCACGTTACAACTGGCTTCAAACCTGATGAGTTTGTGGTCGCTTACGTCCGTGGGGTCCGCTTCCCACCTCAAACGCCGCATCCTGCTAGTTCTCGCCAGGGAGAAGTCTATGATGCTTTCACCGTTTACCGTGGCAAACGTTGATTGACCATAGACGTTCCAAACTTCCAGTCCCTGACCGATAACGAGATCGACCAGAGACCTTCCTCTGGAATCTTCCCTGTGGTCCCCAAACAGTTTGGTGCGCGCGTTAAAATCCCCGCCAATCACAATCTCGTGCCCTTCCTTCTGAACCAATAGGTCATTAAGGAAGTCTAGCTTCCCGAGATCGTCGTCCTGAGGTGGTATGTACACTGAGAGGCAGACCAGTTTTAGATCCGCCGCCTCGATCTGTACAGCCGCCGCCCCCTCCCAGGACCCGCAGCCCAAACAAGGAAGGTCTCCCCGGACCAGTAAGGCAGCCTTTCTGCACTCGCTGGAGAAGAAACTATACCGAGTATCTAGACCCATCCTCCCGCCATCCACCAGGTACATCTCCTGCACCAGGATGACGTGAGGCGATCACTTTTAATGATCCGGTCTAGCTCCTCGGAGCTACTGCTCGAACGGGCGCAGTTAAGCTGCACAAACCTCCATACCTCCTTGTTTGGCCCCTCTACCATCGCCTCCCGTTCACATACCAGGCCTTAACTCGGGAGATCAGATTCCGCCCCGCGTTTCGCGAGCACATCAGCTACCTCATTACCAAAAATCCCGCTGTGGCCTTTGATCCAATGTATGGTACATCTGTTCCCATTGCGGTTCAGTTGTGAAATCAGCAACAAGGCTCTGTTGACCAGGAGGTTGCCAGTTCTGGAGTTTAGAACGGATTTCACAACTGAGAGGTTATCCAGGAGAATTTCAATGGTGTAATTGTCGGGAAGCTTTGAGGAGTCCTCAAGTGCTTTAAGCAAGCCAAGTGCCTCCGCTTGGAAGACAGAACAGTACAGGGACAGGACAAAGCTTTCACGCAGTTCATTCATGGAGCCATTCGCACACACTCTATATAGGCCTGTTCCAACTCCAGTTTTCGTCTTGGAACCATCTGTGTAGTAGGTGACGTCAGCCGAAAGATCAGGAATATTAATGGGAGCGGAGTAATAGGGAGGATAGGGAAGTGGGTGAGGGCAGGGAGGAGGTTCGACTGGAAAATCAGCGTCAACAAAACTGTGCTTTTTAAAGTACAATTCCGCTTTGGCGCCGACATCCAGATCGAGAGGAAGAACACGGGAAAGAGAGATGAGAGAGATATTGTCAGTTGTTTTAAACGCGCGGCATGTCCTGATGAGGAACGGGCGCTGCGCGCTTAAGAGAGTGTTTAAGGAGCGTTGTTTGAGATTAGAAAACAACACAGGAGAAGCGTAAGAGATGGCTGGGACCACGACCTGTAGATAGAGCATCCTCAGGGCACGGAAACCAAAGCCAAAATTGGAGTTGGCGGCTGCTGTCAAACGCGGGAGAAATCCGCGGACTCTGGTGCAAACCTCAACCACATGCTGGTGGAAGGTGAGACGCTGATCAAACATTACTCCCAGCACTTTGATTGAGTCGCTCCATTGAATGGGTTGACCATTAATGGCTAGATCGCAGCTAGGCTTTAGTAGTCTGCCAGTACGTCTTAGAAGGAGCATGGCCTGACACTTCCTCACGCTGAGTTCCAGTTTATGCAGGCCACACCACCTCGTGATCTCGTTAATGGCAAGTTGCGCCGCTCCAAGTTGATTAGTAACTTGGCCCGACACCACCATAACAAGATCGTCGGGGTAGGCCTGCGGGTGTACACATTTTTTAAAGTTGAGCGTGAGGAGCTCGTCAAAGACAAGGTTCCAAAGAAACGGCCCAAGAACTGAGCCCTGCGGGCAGCCTTTGGAAACCTGCCTCGTGACCGTGCAACCACTCATAGACAGTCTGACAACACGGTTATTGAGGAAGGAGCGAATCAGGACAAACAGGTTTTTTGGACAATCATTCATACACAGAGCTCGCAATATGCTGGAGTGTAGCACATTGTCAAAAGCGCCTTTCACATCAAAGGAAAGAAGATTTTCTATGCTGAAGCGACCGGGAGAGATTATTTTTTAAATTTAGAAGTGCGGCGACTGTAGATTTGCAGGGCCTGAAACCGAACTGGTTTGGTTGGGCTTTAAACATTCTCTCAGCTCGCCACGAGAGCCTGGCCAGGATTAGACGCTCTAGAATTTTACCTAAGCCAGGCAGCATCGTGATGGGCCGATGAGACGAGAGAAAGTCCTCACCACCTTTTTTGGGAATGAGTATGACATCACCCAGTTTCCAAGGGGTTGGATAATGTCCAGTTTCAAAGCACCTATTAAAGATCTTTAAAAAGAACGTCGGGAATTTTTTAATTAATTTAACAATGACTAAAGGTGGCATACCATCACTGCCAGGAGCAGAAGTAAGGCTAACCTTATCCGCAGCCAGTAGCAGTTCTATTTCTGAGAACGGTGGGTCGTTTTCAGAGGTGGACTGCACGGCTTTATGTAAGTTAACATGCTCTACTGTTATATCGGGCGGGACGCGGCCGAAGTAATGTTTTAATACGTGTTCTAGAGTGTCCCGCGGACTGTCAGTGAGATCATCGCCAACCAGGAGAGAGGAAAGAGGCTTCTTCTTGGTGGAGCCTTTAATAAATTTATAAACGCCGCCCCAGGGGTTAACCTCGCAAAGCGAACAGATCCTTCTCCATTCAGCAGACTTCGCGTGTCTGATAGAGGTGCGAAATCTATTATATAATTTCTTATAAAATATTTTCAACACGCTTCTAACAGGCCCACGAGCTTTTCTCCAGGCTCGTTCAG